CTTAATAAGTTTGGTACTGTTTAAACTGTATAACTTAAGTACTGTTTAAACTGTATAACTTAATAACTTTAGTACTGTTTAAACTGTGAAACTCAATAACTTTGGTACTGTTTAAACTGTATAACTTAATAAGTTTGGTACTGTTTAAACTGTATAACTTAAGTACTGTTTAAACTGAGTAACTCAATAACTTTAGTACTGTTTAAATTGTGAAACTCAATAACTTTAGTGCTGTTTAAATTGTGAAACTCAATAACTTTAGTGCTGTTTAAATTGTGAAACTCAATAACTTTAGTACTGTTTAAACTGTGTAACTCAATAACTTTAGTACTGTTTAAATTGTGAAACTCAATAACTTTAGTGCTGTTTAAATTGTGAAACTCAATAACTTTAGTACTGTTTAAACTGTGTAACTCAATAACTTTAGTGCTGTTTAAACTGTGAAACTCAATAACTTTAGTACTGTTTAAACTGTGAAAGTTAATAAATTTAGTTCTGTTTAAACTTAAAGTTCATTCTGTAAAACGAATGAGTTTCTGGTGTTTCATTTTGAAGGAAGATTACTTATATATGTTTTTATTTTCAGTAAAACCGTTTTTTATTCGAGAGCCTAAAGACGTTTCGACGCTAGCAGACACAAATGTGGAATTTGAATGCAAAGTTGGTGGCGATCCTCGGCCAAATATCGCCTGGCGACGAAAAGATGGCAAAATGCCAAATGGAAGGTATAGACCAATTTTCATTCAACAAACTACATGTTGGGAATGTTTTATGTGCCGTCTTGTAGATAGATATCAGCTTTTCCCTATTTCAAATATGGGACCATATCAAACAAAGAAACAAATAAATAGTTAGTATGAATTGTTACGGCAAAATCACGGTTACTTGGATAAATTATCTACTGTTTGATAAAGCAAAATGTTTAAAAAGGATATGCTTCAATACAATGACATCTTTATTCGGTCATTTTACAGAGCTGAGATGAAAGAAGATAAAAGCCTCCGGATCAAGCATGTCTTTCCTGCTGATGAAGGAATATATATCTGTGAAGCAAAAAATCCTGTTGGATCTGTCTCAGCCTCAGCAACCTTGACAGTGCACTGTAAAGATTTATTTTGTATAGGTTATATGCTTTTTCCGAGAGTTGTTAGCTAGCGTATGAAAACAATAAACGTGTCATCTAATAAATCCAGCTTGTTAGAATAAGACAATAAACTATAAAATCAACTTCGAAATCACTGAAAACAAATCAAGATAACGAGAAATTACTTTATTTTGTTATTCTGTTTCTATTCTGTCTTTATTTTTGAAATGAGTTTTTAAGGTATTTAATTATACAACGGTTATTTTTCTTTTCAATTACCCCCTCCTCCTCTCCTTTTCTTGAGAGTGTTGTTTGTGTTCAACAGTTCAAGTAAAAACTAATATTCGATTTGTACTTCTAACCTTTTAGTGATAATGACTGGTCATGATTTAGGCTTCCCATAATTACGATACTGACAATTCCAATCGAGTCACTATCTAATATACTTTATAAACTGAAAGAAAGAAGAAGAAGAGAAAATCTAACAGTCCTTATTAATATATTCTCCCAAAAATTGTGATTGGTTAAGAGCCATAAGATGAGCATGTAGGAAAGTCACGTGTGTAGTACACGCTGCTAGACGTTAGATATTTCGATGTTATTTGTGAAAGACAAATAAAAAAAAATTGAAGGCTGTAGCCACAGGGGAATGGAGGTGTTAAAAGACTTGAAGGCTGCAGCCAGAAGGGAATGGAGCTGTTAAAAGACTTGAAGGCTGTAGCCAGAAGAGAATGGAGCTGTTAAAAGACTTGAAGGCTGCAGCCAGAAGAGAATGGAGCTGTTAAAAGACTTGAAGGCTGTAGCCACAGGGGAATGGAGGTGCTAAAAGACTTGAAGGCTGTAGCCAGAAGGGAATGGAGCTGTTAAAAGACTTGAAGGCTGCAGCCAGAAGGGAATGGAGCTGTTAAAAGACTTGAAGGTTGCAGCCAGATGGGAATGGAGCTGTTAAACGACTTGAAGGCTGCAGCCAGAAGGAAATGGAGCTGTTAAAAGAATTGAAGGCTGTAGCCAGAAGGGAATGGAGCTGTTAAAAGACTTGAATGCTGCAGCCAGAAGGGAATGGAGCGGTTAAAAGACTTGAAGGCTGCAGCCAGAAGGGAATGGAGCGGTTAAAAGACTTGAAGGCTGCAGCCAGAAGGGAATGGAGCTGTTAAAAGACTCTCATCAAAGTTCTAAAGGAACAATTTTAAGTAATGTAGAACAATCCAATGTACATAGTAGCTTTTACAAAATACATATATTATTTTACTAAGTTTTAGCATGATGAGCAAGAGAGTTTACACAATACATCCTGTCAGTTATACCCTCAAACCCAGATGTAAAACTCTCTATTTTTGAGGGTTTCATTAGAGGGGTAGATTAGCGAGAACAATTTTAGTTTACACACCTAAAACAATATTCAAAGTAAAAACATTCTAGGTTTGTTAAGGTTCCATAAAGTTACTCTAATATCATGGTTAACAATGACAAAAAGCATCTTTTCAACTTATAAACACGTTTTTAGTAAACAAGAATTTCTATCGCATTTGGGATCAAATACATGGTCTTTAAAGGAAGCTATTTTTACAATAGATTGCTTCAATTTGTACTCCAGGGTATGCACGGAAATACTGCGTGTCCACAAACTGCCCATTGCCTATGTGTGAAAAGAAAACCTGCTTACGACAAGACTTTGAATATCATGTGGGTCCTATAAAACAAGACTTTGAAAATCATATTGGTCCTTTAAGGCAAGGCTTTGAAAATCATGTGGGTCCTATAAAACAAGACTTTGAAAATCATATTGGTCCTTTAAGGCAAGGCTTTGAAAATCATGTGGGTCCTAGATACATTCTACATTCTTCTCACCGGTTTCATTTATTATCCAAAACAAAGAACCAAAGTAGTAAAGAATTGACGCTTTTTTATTTATGAAAATATAGTGTTCACAGTGCATACACAGAAATTACTAGGGCTTGTGGAAGATGACTTATTCATATGTATAAGAGAAATTAGTCTGAATGCTCTCCATATATATATTTATTACCAATCGAAAGTTCTGTGGTTTTAAGAGGTAAAAATTTTTAAGTAACAACAGATACTTATATCATTATGCAAAGACATGGAGTACACATGCATTTAATTAATTCTAACATTGTTTCATATTTTTTGAACCAATTTCAGCACGACCAGCGTTTCTAGTGAGGCCAAAGAACCAACGAGTTGGTTTGAACAGTAATGTTAAGTTTGAGTGTATAGCAACAGGAAATCCTCCACCATCAATCTTTTGGACAAAGGAAGGCAATCAGGTTCGTGCCCAAATTTACAATCATTTAAATCAACTTCAAATAAATATCGATGTATAAATGTGTATTTTGGGTTATTTATTTTGTCTCATATGAATATGTGTGCATTCTCATTTTCTTTTACTTTTGCATATTCCAACTAACGGACTAATCTTTTTATAATAAGTGCTAAGTTTCAGAACGCCGTTTTCTACTTAACATTGTTCTCCACGTTTTCGCATTATAATAGTTTAAATATTGGCCTAATGCTGCAAAAGCTAAAGAAGGTTTGAGATTAAAATGTCAGCTTCACCACAACACGCCTTGTTCCGATCCTCTCACTTGCAGGCCTTAATGTTTCCTCTACTTCTTGTTCTTCAATACTTACAGGTCTTAATGTTTACCAATACTTGTTTTCAATACTTGCAGGCCTTAATGTTTACCAATAGTTGCTGTTCAATATTTACAGGTCTTAATGATTACCAATAGTTGTTTTTCAATATTCACAGGTCTTAATGATTACCAATAATTGTTTTTCAATATTTACAGGTCTTAATGATTACCAATAGCTGTTTTTCAATATTTACAGGTCTTAATGATTACCAATAGTTGTTTTTCAATATTTACAGGTCTTGATGTTTACCAGTAGTTGTTTTTCAATATTTACAGATCTTAATGTTTACCAATAGTTGTTTTTCAATACTTACAGGTCTTAATGTTTACCAGTAGTTGTTTTTCAATATTTACAGGTCTTGATGTTTACCAGTAGTTGTTTTTCAATATTTACAGATCTTAATGTTTACCAATAGTTGTTTTTCAATACTTACAGGTCTTGAGATCACAGCTTGTCATGTAGGAATTCCAACATCTTAGCTACAAGTTTTCAAGTTTTAACACAACAGAAGCTCACAAAGCATCCCTTTACCATACCTGTTACTTCCAAGTAGGCCTTAGTCATAGCTGATTCTACTACAGAGAGGGCAGAACACACGTAATACCCCCGATCATCTTTAGTAACTCCAGAAATCACAAGGGTTCCTTCTTGAGTTACCGAAAATCTTCCATATGTGTTGTCAGGAAACATCAAGACCTGTAAATATTGAAAAACAACTATTGGTAAACATTAAGACCTGTAAGTATTGAAAAACAACTATCGGTAAACATCAAGACCTGTAAGTATTGAAAAACAACTACTGGTAAACATCAAGGCCTGTAAATATTGAAAAACAACTACTGGTAAACAACCACAGCTTCCAAATGGGAGTTCAAACTATCAAAACTACAATGACCACAGCTTCTAAGTGGGAGTTCAAACTATCAAAACTACACTGACCACAGCTTGCCAGGTGGGAGTTCAAACCATCAAAACTACAATGACCACAGTTTCCAAGTGGGAGTTCAAACTATCAAAACTACACTGACCACAGCTTGCCAGGTGGGTGTTCAAACTATCAAAACTACAATGACCACAACTTGCCAGCTGTGATCTCCAACCATCTAAGTTACATTGATCACAGCTTGCTAAGTGGTAGTTCCAATCATGTAAACTACACTGACCACAACTTGCCAGCTGTGATTTCCAACCATCTAAGTTACACTGGCGGCTTTGATTTTAAAAGAGGTGGGAGTTGGTCATCTAGGAGAGTTCTGGATTTTGGAGCTGGTGAGCCAGGTTTAAATTCCATGCAGTACCACAAAATATTCCATGCATTTTAATCTGTGGGTGTGTTATAAGAGTAATAGTCAATCTCTTAGAGTGGTGGAGTCCTCCTGCCACTGGGCTGTCTTCCCTCTGGTCTGTAGTTCCAGATTAGTGAAGGCTGCAGATAATATTAATAGCTTTGCCATAAATACAAAATACAGATAGCCCTCGTGTAGCTTTGCGCGAAATTCAAAAAACAAACAAACAATACATCAAAGAATGTAAATATTTGTTGCAGCTTAAAGTTTAAAACTGTTAGAAACCCATTTTACAGCAAGTGAAATGTAATATAATTCAGAGAAATTTAGAGAAAAATAGTTGCGTAAACTGAACAGTAGCAGCCAGCTTTCTATTTCTGATTTATCTTGTTCTGGTTAACTGGTTTCTTTTTAAATGAAATGATTTTAATCCACATAATGTATTTGAAATGGAACATGTGTGGCCAGATATAATCTGAGAAATCGATCTAGACACTGTGTAAAGTAAGAAGATTAGTTAAAATTTTTTTCATGTTGAGAATTGTGGAATGTATTATTATTATTGTATACGTTGTTATACTTTTTAAAAAAATTATATAGTTCTTAACTATGGGATATTTGTGTATGGAAAATCCATCTACACAGTTTTGGGAAGAAAAAAATGAACTCAATTCAAAAGAACTTCCATTAAATTAAACTTGCTAAGTTCAAACTATCAAAAATACACTGACCACAGCTTGCCAGGTGGGAGTTCAAACTATCAAAACTACACTGATCTTTATTTCTGAGGACCAACTCCCACCTCTTTTAAAGTCAATGTCTCAATCTTTATTTCTGAGAACCAACTCCCACCTCTTTTAAAATCAAAGCCTCAATCTTTATTTCAGAGGACCAACTCCCACCTCTTTTAAAATCAAAGCCTCAATCTTTATTTCAGAGGACCAACTCCCACCTCTTTTAAAATCAAAGCCTCAATCTTTACTTCAGAGAACCAACTCCCACATTTTTTAAAATCCAAGTCTCAATCTTTATTTTATTGTGAATTTCAAAATGAATGTTCACACACAATTTCATCCATATTTAATTCATCTAAAAATTGTGTTTTTATAAATAATTTTAGAACTTTAAATACACAATGACTGTATAACGGAAACTAAAATCTACTGAAACTATGGCATTTCAAACTCTGTTTCTCTTTGTTTTGGTTAATTACATAGATAATGCTGTCTCTTGGGAACAATGATTCCCAACGAGTGGAGTGCACTGATAAAGCTTGTTGACACATTCTGAACTGAATGATAGTTATTCTAACTGTTACATTGACATAAAACTGTGCTCAAGAACTTACAGATTATAAACACCTAAAGGATTAGTAGCGAAGGAAGATAAATATCGTTATTGTAATCCCACCTGAATAAGGATGCTTTATCTGGTAATTATTTACTTTTGTACTGGTTATAAAGGAAAGCATTTAATAACACATAACTGTGTGTAATTATTTACTTTTATACTGGTTATAAAGGAAAGCATTTAATAACACATAAATGTATGTATTTATAAACCCGAATCACCTTC